GTCAGTTAGCGGATTTCCAGCAAGCATGTTAGTCTACATTAGCCAAGTATGATAAGTATATATACCATTTATTTTGTTTTTTATTACGGCCAGGATTGCACTCTTTACGTTGGTATTAGCATGAATTTTCGGTTCAGACTGACATGTAATTGGTGCATTTTCTGTGTGGGCGGGCACTACAAAAAGATTGATTTCACTACAGTTCAACACAGACACTGCCCCCCCCCCCCCTTAGGGGAATTCATCACAAAAACACACTGGACGCTGCACTAGGTCAGAAACCAGAGGAGACTGTGAAGTCCACCGCAGACGGACCACTTTTGGACAAAATGTCCTCTCCGTTAAAGGCAGCTCATTGTGGAACAGCCTCCCTACTGAGATACAGGATTGTCCCACTCTCAATAGTTTTAAAGGTCAACTCAAAGAATGGTTGAGAAACAACCAGACGTGTAATCACGGCTAAATCCACTTTAACACAGGGGTATCTCCTCTTGCACTTGATGTGTCGTAGCTGCTACATTGTCATAATGTAGCAGCACATGTCATAAATACTTGTGTATGATGCTCTTGCTCTTTTGCACCTTTTGCATATCATGTATTGTTTTTGCTATGTTTGTAAGCCAGGTATATATTGCACAGTTATTAACGGCATATATATATTGCACATAGTTGGTTGGTATTTAACAACAAGGGGTGTTATAACATATGTCCTCCCAGAGGATTTACATTCACAGCTGCATTAACACCACCTTTCCTCTCTCTCTCTCTCTCTCTCTCTCTCTCTCTCTCTCTCTCTCTCTCTCTCCTCTCTCTCTCTCTCTCTCTCTCTCTCTCTCTCTCTCTCTCTCTCTCTCTCTCTCTCTCTCTCTCTCTCTCTCTCTCTCTCTCTCAGGTACGCTGTGCTACGTTTCAACCAGTACTTTGAGACCAAACCTGCACTGATGGCTCTGCAGATCCCAGAATGAGAGACGGGGGGAGAGAGAGAGAGGCAGACAGGAGGGTGAGACAGGTTTCCTGCTGCCACTTCCTGTGGGGCGGGAACTCTTCTGTGAGCCAGCTGTCGATGCAGCGCTGCTCCGTCTACCCGGCTTCCTTTTTTTCCGCAACAAGCGCAATTACTCTGCTCTGCGACTTACCTCTTGCTCGAGAACGATAAAACTTCCATTGGGTCCTGTGTGTATGTGTGTGAGAGTACGCTTGTGTATGTTTCTTAATTTATCATGATGAAGCCCTCTTCGAGAAGCTGAACAAGGCGCAGAAGAGTGACTTTAGGGTAGACACAACAGACTTGAGTTATGTCTGTCTCTGGGGGAAATGTTCCACAGCGCTGGTTATGAAGGTCAGAAGAGGGACGATTTGATGCACATAGTTTGTCCGTCTCTCTGTATCCATGGCATTTCATCTTGCACTCCTCCCATTTTACATATGTGTGTGTGATGAGACCATTCCTCCTCCTGTCTGCAGACATTTAAACTCCTAATCCTTCCTCTTTTTACTCCAGCTTTGATGCTAAGTATTCCTCTACTGCATCAAACACTGTCGTCATTCCTCTGATTTATTTTCTTTGTGTTGTTGCAGTTTGAGCTCCCGTCAGTTCCTCTTGATGTAGTCCATGCAAACTGCTGCTGCTGCTGCTGCTGCTAATAGAAATATAACATTTCTGATTGCTCGTGTGTGTCCCCCCCCCCCCCTTACCTGACACTGAATGTGTGGAACAGCAAATGGAAAAGCTTTTGGCGGCAGGTCACATCACTATTGTGTTCTAGCAATGGGGGATAGAGAGTAGCAAAATGTGCATTATATTTATTTACGTGGACACCTTTTGGGTCAGTTAACATCTCCGGTGCAACAGCTCTTCAGTTTTGGGTGGCTGTGGTTAGCTTCCTGTTGGATTGGGGAGTGATTTGAAGCCGGAGAGGAGATGGAGACCTGTGTAAACCTGTGTGTGTGTTTCTGCCCTCAAACACTTTTCCACCTTTTTGACTTTTATGGTTCCAGCGAATCGCTCCGTTAAACTTTGCATTTAAACGTTCCAGACCTGTTGGAAAATCACAACCTTCCTCAGCCTCACTTTCAACTACCTCCTCCTCTGCTCCCTCATGTTACTTAACCTAAAGCTGTTCAGATTGAAGCATCCTAACATCAGAGGCAGCTCTCAGCTCAACTCAAATCCATTCTCATCCCACACCTGGACATAATCAGACGTTGCGAAACTTATATCCGGGGTCAAATCAAGTCTAGCTTACAAAATGAGGCATTAATGAGTTATCTATCTGGGGTGGTGTTGCAGTTATAAGATCACTATTATTTCTTGGATGGAAAAGCATGTCATGTGACACTCCTGTGATATATAATCATTTAAGAAAAAGTAAAAAAAAACGACAACTTGGCTGATTTTGCACTGCAGTTTGTATAAAGCCTTAAGTGTCTGCTAAGGGAGCTCTGTTAAGGCATTAGTGGAAAATTAGGAACATAGTGATCTTACCTCTGCTCCAGGCTAAATAACATGCTACTAACCATGGATGTATAAAGAGACGGGACCCCTTATCTCTACTTTAGTGACTTGACAAGCTTCTTAAGAGCCACAGAGGACATTTAACCTTTTTTACAAGCTAATACACCATACCTAGTAAACTGATATTTGTCTCAAATCAGCAGTGGTCCTTCTAATAAGCATAGAGGGGGCCCTTACTCATTCATTTCTTGTCCTTTTTTCATATTCTGGCTCCTCAAAGTTTAAGAGTATAGTACTACATGGCAACATATTTCCTTGAATTCAATTGGCCTTGAATTCAAATCTTTATAGGCTTAAAAAAAAGGTCCTATAGTTCTATATGTGAGGTACCGTGACACTGAGTCAGTCTCTCAGTGAGTTTCACCACAAGCACTTTCTCATAACGACCTTAAGCACAGGATTGACCAATGAATGAATCTGAGTTGATTCATGCTGGGCTCCAGAGATGTTTCCTCTTTGATCACCAGCTCCAGCAGGGGGAGACACTGAGATCTGACCTTTGTCCTCCTCTGCAGCTCTCATGTAACTGATGGGCTTAATAATTTACAAGTGGAGCAGCAGCAGCAGAGACACTGACCGTTAACCTGAGAAAGGTCACATTTATGTTTCAAATGAGACCGTGGTTCTCATCCTTAGACGTGAAGATCAGATTATCCAAAATGTGAATTATATAACTCATAAATGGGTTACTTAGCTTTCATATATGAGATATATATGGAAGCTACCTGCTCATTTTTTATGATAATCAAGAGGCCCCTATTTTATGTCACTAATAGCTTGTTTAATAGATTTGCCTAAAAAGGGCAAATCAGTCAGCCGCTTGAACGCACACTCCTAATAGTAGTAATCCCGCCCTGATAATAAGTCCATTTGCACTGAATAATTCACCATTAACTTCACAGAGGTCCCTAAAGCCTAGTGGAAATCATAAGCCCTTATTATCATTAATAGTGAGAACAGCTTTATTTAGGTTACTTGGGAATTAAACCTAACATGCTAGCATACAGTAATGTGAAGAGCTAAAACGCTTTCTGCTCAGAATTGAGGTACACATGAGTCAATTAGAAACGTTACTCATGTTGGCTCGAGGTTCTCCTTGAGATAAATACTTGCCGGCCGAAGCACAGAAAGTCCTATGGGACAGGATGAGGGTCACATGTTGATTCTTTTTATTTTTTTCTGACCAAAAGTGATTTTCTTTTACTTTTTTGTTCAGAATTCCAACTTTTATCTCAGATTTCTGACTTTTGTCTGAGAACTATTTCACATGTGGCCCTAATCCTCTTCTGTACAGTCTCCATAACAGATTCAGAAACATTACTAACCTCTATTGGGTTTAGATTTTAAAAATTAAGTTAAAACTGAATTGGGTTACAGGAAAGCAAATTAAATCTACGTTGAGAGTAAAAACTAAAAGAGAGGTTTACATTTTAGACTTTTTTTTAATTCAAAGCTAACATTTTAGTGCAATGTGATTTAAACCTCGTTTGGTTCAGGTTTAAAAATTATAATTATTGTTGGTACAACCCAGCCTAAATCCTAAATCCCAAATGTGGATATAACAGACATCTATAGTTAATTATCCCTAGGCACTAAACTGAGGGAAAAGCGGATCTCTCTTCTAAATGTTCTTAGTTGTAATTTATTTTCTTAACCAAAAAAGTTAGTGTAAGGTTGTGCTCTACAGACCATATCATTACAATCAAATCTGAATAATAAATGCTTTAGGGATCATTGTCGTACTTTAAAACCTCTTATTAACAATTGAAAATAATCCAAACGGGAAGTTGGTGTGTGTTTAGACGTACTAATAATAATCATCCATACATTCGATGCGTCTTTCTTAATGTTAGGGCTTTATATGTTGTTTTAACAGGGTTTATTTATTGAGTGAATCTAACATTTCACACCGTGTTTTCTGTTTTTCTAATCATACCAACATGGTTAGCTTCAGAGGGTTTGCATTGCAGTTCACGTGAGATTTTGTGTGTGATTTGACTAATCTTGAAGAAACACTGTACAGATAACTGATTATTTTGTTCTCTTTGTACGCTGATATTTACTTTTTTGTAAATGCTTTTGAAGCGCTGTGTGAAGGGAGCCGGCGTGTAGCTTGCAGATGTGAAGTTGTAAATGTGCTCATCCACTGCTAACGGGGAGGGAGGATGTAAATACTGTAAGAAATACTGTGAAAGCTTACTGTACAGTGATCCTTCACACCTCTGTAGGAGTGGCAAGATTAAATATTTAACAGTTGTCAGTAAATATTTCCATTAAAATGTATAAATAATACAAACAATGTCTGTGTTTTCTTTTGTCTGCTCTTAGTAGTTCTGGGAATACATACAAGTACCAAAATAAGACTTATTGACACTTTAGCTTATGTGGTTGTCAGCTGACTTGCTAACTTGGCCTCAGCAGAAGGAAGGAGACAACTTTTAGCTGTGGGAAATCATGACAAAACACAAACACACACTCGGGCCGTTTCTCAATGTCGAGTAAAGCTGCTGCAGAGCCACTGGCCGTTTCTCAATCGCGAGGATGCTGGCTTGGTAGCACAGCCGAGCCGAGCGTCTTGCTTCAGAAGCAAGGCAAGAATACTTCCTGCTATTCGGAAAACAAAGAGTGGAACAGGCTAGCAAGTGTGCAGGTGTGCGTCATATGAGAGGCCCCGCCTTACATCTTCCGCCACAGATTTTGGGGAAATTGGTCCATGCGCAAAGCATTGTGGGGATTTTAAGGACGCGAAGTCTACCATGTGCAGCCTCGAAATTTTCCCCCAAACGAAGGACGCGGGCCTCGTGGGAATTCCAAGTATGCTGGAGATTGGAACAGTCCTTCGGCGGCACTCGATGACGTAGCATCCTTGAAATATTGGCTTGGAAGCCAATATCCTCGCGATTGAGAAAAGGCCACTATTTCAAGTATACTACTCTACGTCATCGAGTGGCGCCGAAGGACTGTTTAAATGCCCAGCATTCGGCGCCACTCGATGACGTAGTATACTTGAAATAGTGGCTCTGCAGCAGCTTACTCGACATTGAGAAGCGGCCACAGATACATGTGGTGTTGGTAGAATCCTCATTTGCATATTTAAACAAATATAAAGCCTATCATAAATGTTTTTAATGGCTTCTAATGTATTTTTACTAAGTTTTACATAGTTGTCTGTTGCCTTAATGTATGCAAATGTACATATATAGCAAGATAATGCCTCATTTGCATGTTTAAACGTAACTTAAAAACATGAATATGGTCCTGATATAATAATGAACTGCATGGGGTCATATTTAATTGAAATGTTATCAACCAGAAGTGTATCCCCTTACTAATTGGCACAAAACAGAAAGTATTAACAGCTGCCATTCATGTCAATGTGTTGCAGGTATTTATGTAGTTCGAAGCCAGGTGAGAAAATGGAAATGTGACCTTGATTGAGCTATATGATAACAAAAGTTATTGAGCTTATCTCATACAGGAAATGCACACGTGTGATTAATAACACTTAAAGGTGGGGTAGGTAATTTTGGAGAAACCAGCTCGAGTGCGCTAGAATTTGAAAATACACAGCCGGAAAAAATCTGCCCCTTCCTTCAGACTTCCTTACAGAGCCCCTCCTCCAACACACACGAACGCGCACATGACCAATGAGGGCACGAGATAAGTTTGTGCACAGATGGAAGGCTGACGGGCAGGTAGGCCATCCAGTTATTTTAAGCCGGGCCGGCTCAGATGATTGGTCGTGCTTTTTACAGTACTACGGCTTCCACAGATGACATTTTTTATGGATTTTTTGTCAAAGCACTTCAGATATTCATTGCTATCGGGATGTTAAGAGCATTCCATGGAATATAACAAAAGTGTATCTCGAGCCGGTTTCTCAACGTACCTACCCCACCTTTAACCTCTGACACATTGCGATGTATCAGTTCCAGTGAGACAACATGCAGAACACTCTGAACCTGATTTAAGTGCAGCTGTAATCAGTGTTATTAGTTACAGCTGTCCACTTCCCTCCTGTTAAGAGTAAAGGGACAATATTACAGTCGACCAAGGCGTATCCAATGTGATTAATCAGTTTATATGACATGCTCATTTACCAGCTGAGAGACTTCAGGGGAAAATACAGCATGGAAAGAATACGCTGTTGGCTAATGTAATGTTTAAATGCAGGGATGAGCTGGAAAGAGCGCGGAGTGTTACTGTGGGAACGACCTCAGGTAGACCTTAGTTATGAAGCAGAGTTATTACTGAACCAGCTGAACACACAACCCTGTCTCAAACCAACCCAGTCTCACGGCATTTCGTGTTATTAGTCACGAAATTAATTTAATCTATTGATTCGTGTTCACCAACACGATTTTCACCTTTTTTTCGTGTCACACAGAACGATTTTAAATGCAATGTATTTCTATTGGTAGTATGTTTCGTGCCTGCAACACGTCTTTTTGTCCGGTCGGGTCTTGGAAGACCAGAAGCTGTGTGGTTCATAAAAACATGTTCTTACTCAATATCTTACCCTAAGCCTAACCCTATCCCTTTTATTTTAAATTGTATAATGTCTGAGTTTTTTTGCCATCAGTGAGGAAAATAAATGGCTCAGAGCCTCAGAATACTGAATCTGTATTTTATGTCATCTTTTTTTCCTTCTAATTTGTTATTATTTGGTGCAGGCACAAAACATACTACCAATATAAATACATTGCTTCTAAAATCGTTCTGTGTCAGAATACTTAAATCTGTATTTTTTTAAATCTGTTTTTCCTTCTAATTTGTTATTATTTACATTGCTTTTAAAATCGTTCTGTGTGACACGAAAAAAAATGGCGAAATCGTGTTGGTGAACACGAATCAATAGATTAATTTCGTGACTATAACACGAAATGCCGTGAGACTGTGTTGCTCAAACACACACACACACACTCATATGTATACAAATAATTCACTCCAAACACATTTAGCACAACCAATTTATTGTCTTTCAAGAAAGAAAAAAATACAACAACACAAAACTCTGAAAACATAAAGAAACGTACACCTTTAAATTACACAGGCTCTTATAAACAAAATAAGTCTCTTTCTATATTTACATCAGCAGGGGGTAAAGACAGGTGACTCCTCAGCATATCTCCACTAAAATAAGATAAACATTTGTCCTCTGATATCCATCTCTGTGCACTAAATCCAGCATCTTTTACACAGCCCTGAAACCCAAACCCTGATGTCTGAAATGTATCTTTTCCCTCCATTTTGATTTGTCATCCTTGCGGTTAGCTAGTTAGCTAAAGGTGGATTGACCCAGTGCTATTTAGACACTATGGTTTATTTAAATGGTTGTATTGGTCAATGTGGTTATGGCGTGATGAGAACAAAGACACCAAAACTAGCCATGTGCTCAGAAGAGCTAGGCAAAGTAGCTCTACAGGCTAATAGCAACATGCTACTAGCTAGACATAGTGAAGATAATGATGTTAGCAGGTGTATTCCTGGTCCTTATTTTTATGTCTTACAACAATGATTTAGGATAAAACAGTCTCCAAAACTTCCTCACATGAAATGGAAAGAGGTCAAGCAGATGCTAGCTAGTCATTAACACTTTTGTATATCTTACATTTAGGTTAAAGGTGGGGTAGGTAATTTGGAGAAACCGGCTCGAGATCGCTAGAATTTGAAAATACACAGCCGGAGAAAATTCTGCTACTTCCTTACAGAGCCCCTCCTCCAACACACACGAACGTGCACATGACGAATGAGGGGACGAGATAAGTTTGTGCACAGATGGAAGGCTGACAGGCAGGTAGGCCATCCAGTTATTTTAGCCGGGCCGGCTAAAATGATTGGTCGTGCTTTTTACAGTACTACGGCTTCCACAGATGACATTTTTTAATGTATTTTTTGTCAAAGCACTTCAGATATTCATTGCTATCGGGATGTTAAGAGCATTCCATGGAATATAACAAAAAGTGTATCTCGAGCCGGTTTCTCAAACTTACCTACCCCACCTTTAAACTGTGATATTTTAATAAAACAACAACAGAAGCTACTGTTCATTTAAGATTTATTTCGACCCTAAAGCTTGTAGGTAAACTAAATCCGTCTATTTGGATCCTTAAGTCACTTAAGTGGATTTTAAACTGTAGCATAATTGTGATGACTGTTTGTTTTTAGCTAGCCTGACTTTTTTACTGCTTGCGATTACATTCCCTAAGCCTACTTTTACAAACTTGTATGCCTTAGAAACACAAGTTTTTAGCATACTTTTAAGACAATGAACATCAATACACTGATTCCAACCATCAGTAATTGCTATAAAATACCATAGTGCATGCTAAGTGCTAACATAGGGCCTAATATCCCTCAGCAAGCTAAAATGTTAGCTCGTAGCATCATAGCTAACAATGTACTACATGGATGATTTTGGTGTCGGTGTTCTCATTAAGTTAAACATTGTGTCCGTTACCCAAAACTCCTGCTTCTATTTCCAATCCTTTCACTTTGGGTAGCACTGTCAACAACTCATAACCATGAATTGACCTTTTTACCCCATCTTTGTAGCCACTCTAGCTAGTTAGGCTACATCCTAACAATGAACAACATGTGACATATGGTTAGATCTCTGTCGAACAGGAAAATGAAAGATGAATTAAGAAGACAACAGATGGAGCTTCACCTTAATCTAACAGGAGGCCGATTGATCTGTCACTGCAAAAAAAATTATAATTTTGTTTTAACTATTTCCAGTGAAACATCTTGGAATAATTCCTGATGCACTATAGTACCAAGAACATGACGAAAATACCCACATACAACATTTATATCTGTATAGTATGTGGATATTTTCTGCAGTGCTGCATCTCAAAAGTGGCAAAAAACAAACACCTGACATTCGGAGAGAGACAGATAGGAGGTGCTCAACACGACAATCAATTAACACTCAAAGAAGCAAACATAGAGGTATAAAAAAAAACAGGTGAGGCTGAGTTCAACTGATGGAAACACAAATACAGCAGATACAGCGAAACTGAACAGCATGATGTGGGAGAATGAGGAAGAGGAGGGTTAAATTGATCGTTTGTGTACTTTATCTGGAAAGGACACTTTCAAAATTGGCCGTCTGATTGTAAACATTGGTTGCAGTGTTAGATCCCTCACTTATTCTGTTATTTTAATAGGTTTTTATTCTTGAAATTAGCATTTTAATAATTGAATTCTGTTTTTCTTCCTGGTTGAATGCATTTTTTTTTAAACCTGATTAAATGTGCTATACAAATAAACTTTGCCTTGCCTTGACTGGAACATTTACCACACAGATTCCTAACCGACTGTAAAGCAATGATTGACAGCTGCTAGTGCTGCAATTTACAATTATTTTTCGTAATTGTTGTCAATGAATCAGCCCATTATTCGTTGTTTTGTCTGAAAAATGTCAGAAAACGGTAAGAAATGTCAAACAAAGCCCCAAAATGACTTAGTCAAATGTCTTGTGTTGTAAAATGTTTGGAAGTTAAAACTTGTTCCCCCGATTTCTTATAGAAGTGCAATACTAAATAGCTGAAAAACACCTTCAATCTGTTAATTTTTCTCCTTTAATCTTCACTTTTAAATTAGATTTAGCTTATTTCCAGGTGGCACACTATCCACACAACCTGCCCTATGCCTTACATTTGTTAAATGCTACTCCTCTGGGGTGTTTACATTATGTAATAAATCAGCCTTCACCAGCAGGGGGCAGCACGGACATATTACAAATCTAACAGGTGAAAACAGGGATGCTAGTAAGCCTCTCCTCCTGAATCTAACCCCTGTGGTTTGCAAACAGTCAACACGGGGAGGAAAACAAGAAGCTAAGGGGATTAAAGGATAAACTTTCTACATTATACCTTCAAATATGACGAAACAAAGTAACCGATGACATGTCAATGAAGGGAAATGATAAGAGCTTGCCTTTTTGTGTGTGTGTAGGTCACTAAAAACAATTACTTTACAAGGGTGTGACAATGACGTGTCTTCACTTTTCAATAGCTCTTCATCCTCCTTTCTTCTTCTTCTCTGACAGAAGATCACCCTTCCTCCCCCCCCTCTCATCCCTCACCTCCATCTCCATTTTCCCCATTTCAGTCTGTGAGGAGCACCAGTTCCCCCTCACTCCTCTCCCCTCCATCGCTCTCCTCCCCCTCGCTGTACGGAGGTCGTTCCCTCTCTCTCTCCCTCTCTCTCTCTCTGGGCAGGGAAGTGGGCGTGGCCTGGCCCTCGGCTCGGCGCAGAGTGGGCGGGGGTTGCGGCAGGTAATGCTCCAGCATCGCGGGGTGAAAGGTGAGGTTCGCCACCGAAACTGAGCCGGTAGCACCCGGGTACGGACCCTCGCTGTGAGGGTAGTGGAGCTGCTGAGGATCCGTTTGACTGAAAGACAGGAAATACATTCGTTAATAAATCTGTGGGAGCAATCACCTTCAATCTGTTTCTTTTTTTTTTAAACTTAGTTCGTTAACAGATGCATTTTGAGTAGAATACAAATTCCTGTTCATACATTAAGTGTAGGTAATATACATATCAAGAAACACGTGAGTTGTCTGACTGAATTATTATTATTTATTTTTATCAGGATGATCATGTTTTTGAAAGGCTAAACACCATCAAATGACATGGTTGCCAAGGACAACAGTTGAAAATTAGCCTGCTGGCTAATACTGGCACGTTTACAGCAATGTTGATTAATGTGCACTGTCCTTTAAATAAATAAACAAACAAACAAATAAAAAACAAATACAGATTGAAGAGGTACATATTGTTCGATAAAGACATGGTGGGAAGTTTGAAAAAAAAATGTAAAATATTTTTTAGTTATTGAAAGTTATTGGAAGTGTTTGGATCATAAACAGTCCAACACATCCAGCACTGGACTGTACAAATAATATCATAATAAGACTAATATTTACACTAACTTTTGTCTGCAACTGTGCACAAATACCGGGTTTAAACTGAAGGAATAGACATGCAAAAACAAATGTTGGTTTTGAATTTGCATTCAACAAAGTTATGAAGGAGGTTTCCAACTATTCAGTGCAGAATATAAACACTTCTGCTATTCTGTTTGCAACAAAAGGTACAAGCTTTTGTACTGAAAAGTTGCGAGGGAAAGTTAAATAAAACTCCCAAGGTGCATTTAAACTTATTTGAATAAAGCGATGTAGATAAAGTCGAAGGCCATTGCGACATCCTGTTATTTATGTTTTATTTCTCAATAGAGAGAAAGAGATGGAGGCAGAGGTAGAAGAAACAGAAAACACATTAAACACCAACCACTGTTGACAGCTGCAGCTTAACTAGTCGGAGGATTTAGCTAAACAATGGCCGCAGGATGCTATTCATCGTCGATGACAGAGAAGTATTGATACCTCAGTCGGGCTGTTATTCACTCTGTGTCTTCACGAATAAAAGACGAGCTTTGGGAACTGTATGAATTGACTACAGTTTGTGGAGGTGCGGAGAACCCTCAAGATTCAAGGCTTTATTGTCATTGACACTTCTTCTCTCTGGCCTTCTAGTTAGAGCGGAGCACGACTCCTGACTTTTCCCTGTGTTTTTTATATATATCTGTTGTAATTTATTGTCTTTTATTGTGATTGTAGTAATGTATTTTTATTACAAAAATCGCTTTTAAATGTGCTTTTTTAAAACTTGATTTGATTTGATTTGCATATTAGCTACAGTGTAGATATGGCAATGAAAAACTTAAGTCACAGGCTCCTCCAACAGTGCAACATGAATGTTTATAGTGTTGTGGACAGTCCCCATTGATCAACTGTCACAAAGAACAGTAAATGGGGCAGCTTTAGCCAACATTGCTAATTTCCAGATGTTGTCCCCGGCCAGATGATAATAGACACCTTTTTAAAATCACAATACATCAACAGCATTAGTTATAAAGAAAGGATGAAAGACAAGTAGATAGAGGCGAAAGGATATTTTGATAATGTGCAAAAAAGTAAATACAAATAAAATAGAATAGGATAGAATAGTCAATGGAGTAAAGTCTCAGTGTACAGTAGGAGCCAAAATGTTACCTACAGTAGCCTGAGTTTATTATTTGTATTATTATTATTTGTTTACGTCACTTTTATTTGTATTTGTTTAGCACTTCCGTTATTTGTCACATGGGTGAGGTTTGTGTATTTAGGTCACCTGTTTCATGTCGAGTGCGGATGACAGAGGGTGAGCTTCTTTTGTTGAACGTTTTGTCCCTATAGTTACTGTATGTTGATTTTGCTTATTAAATATCGTCAAACTATCTTACTTCAGTATGAACTTGCTCATTGAAAACGCGTCACAGTTTATAGCCAAGCTTAGCCTCTCTGCGTCTCAAACTGAACGGGAAATTGAGCCGCCACACTCAGTGTTTTTTTACCTGTGTGTGTAGGTGGCTCTCTGCTCCTGTCTGCGGTTCTTCATCATGGCCTTGTACTCGCCCACTCTCAGCCTCCGCCCCTCCACGATGCAGGTGCGTTTGGGTCGGGGTTTGTACTTATAGTCGGGGTAACGCTCCAGGTGCTGCCGGCTCAGCCTCGCCTGCTCCTCGTAGTAAGGCTGCTTCTCCTGGTTGGACATGCCTTTCCACCTGGAGCCTGGAGACACACATCGGTACAAAGATGATGAGGGAGAGCAAATGGCTTTTATAGCAGAACGTGAATCAGTAGCACGTTTCAGTGATAGGTTGGGTCTGGATTTTGTCTACTCTACTGTGACATGTCTCCATGCTTTAATGTTCAGAAAGCGCTTTATTTTTCTCATTCTGCCTGTGCTGCAGCACCTCTTTTCACCCTCTGTCTGAAACCAGAGCCATAACAGAGCAGAATTGTGTGTTGGTCAACCACTTGAAGATGTCCCGCCCCTTAGCCTATCATGTAAAATGTTTTGGAGCTCTAGCCAATAGAAGTGCGAGTGCAACATAAAGTTAACATGGCCAGTTTATGTCCGATACATATTTTTTCAATGGCAGATGCCAATATTTAGCAAGCAAGGTAGACACAAAATACAATTATGAACCTGAGAATGAGCATGACATGTCCTATTTAAATAGCTGACTAACTGCTAACTGCTGCTAACGCTAAAGCACAGGGATAGAGTTAGTGTTCACACTGCAGACACAGGAGGTTTAAATCGCTGGAAGGTTCATCAGCCTCTACGGATTAGTAAGTAATATTAGCTGGCTTTCTATGTCATGTGATGGTTCACTTTCTGGATGTTTGGCTGAGTAAGAAATGTTTTGGGCTTGTATACATTTCACCATAAAAATGTCTGGGCACTAAATCGCAACACATCGAGAGAACCATCCAGAGACATAAACCACTGTAGATATTGTGTAAAACTGACATGAGGTATGTCAGTAATCAACATTGTTACAATGTGCATAACTTGCATGCATGTGTGTGTTCACGTCTGCATTTGTGTGTGTGTGTGTGTGTGTGTGTGTGTGTGTGTGTATGTGTGTGTATGTGTGTGTGTGTGTGTGTGTGTATGTGTGTGTGTCTCAGTGAAGGGCAGTTGCTCCAACAACAAGCTCTCCACAATAGAATGGAATGTAAATGTTTGCTCCAAGAAAAGGGATTCATGCCAGTGTGTGTGTGTGTGTGTGTGTGGTGTGTGTGTGTGTGTGTGTGTGTGTGTGTGTGTGTGTGTGTGTGTGTGTGTGTGTGTGTGTGTGTGTGTGTGTCTGGAGGACAGGCAGGTGGTTGTCCGTGCCCTCCCATGTGCCAGACAGCGTCTCAGAATAGAGGCACATTCCCCCCCCCCTCCCACATGGTGCTCACCCAGGATCTTGCTGATGGAGGAGTTGTGCATGTCGGGGAACGCCTGCAGGATCCTCCGCCGCTCGTCCTTGGCCCAAACCATGAAGGCGTTCATGGGTCTCTTGATGTGTGCGGAGGTGGGGGGGGGGGCGGGTCTCAGTGTAGTTTCCTGGGACAGAGTTGGGAAGGGCCCCTAGAAGAGAGAGAGGGCCACAGTCAGAGGAGCAGAGCAAACGGATGGGTCTTCTGAACCCCTCAACCTGCCCTAAAAGTGTGTTTACTTCTTTTTTTCTTTATTAAATCGTACGAATGTACTGTCTTCAAAAATAAAAGGTCTGCACAAAAAGATCCTGCTAAAACGGGTTCAAATTAAACCCAGGAGCTTCTATGTGTCATAAAAACAACGTTTGTTAACAAATGACTAAAAGAGACGACTAAACGCCCTGAACATTAGCCGCATTTAGCTTAGCAACGCCAGCTTTGTTTGTAACCTAGCCGATTGCATTTACACGTAGAACATCGCAAAGTGGTGAAGATGATCCTGCTACAAAAGGTGTGAAGTATGATAAACGTGTGTTTGCAAGATAACTTATTTCCTGCAATATACTGAAATCCAATGGAAAAATCCCAGATTTGTGTCGAGGAAGCTAACTTACAGGTCGGCCTACAAAAACACCGTCATCACTGCACAACTCTATTACAGATGAGGTTAAGATTACATTTCCCCATCTTCAATTCGGCACATCTTATGCTCAGTTTTCAATAAAGCTGCCACACTTCCAGATGATACTGAACTTTTCTGATACAGCTGAACTTCGAGGTGGTGTTGGGAGTTATTTTGGGATATTTAAATATCAATCTGATATTCTGAGGCACCTTTTTTTACTACTATTTTAAAATAGGAGGTTGTACATAAACACATTAATGGAGAATGCTATCTTCATGAGGCAGGCTCCTTCAGGGACACCTACCCTCAGAATCACTGCTGAGGTGCTCCTCACCTCTCTCCACGTGAGTAATCCTCTCGCTGCGAGGACATTCCTTATACTCCTGAAGACATAAAAAAGACAAAGACGGATGGAGTCAGACACGCAGTTAAGCCACACAAATATTCACACTGAGCACAAAGGGACGATTTGAATTTCTGCTGCAGTAAAAAAGATGACCCGATGCTTGTGGCACGCATGTGTTTCACAGAGAGCTATTTAAGGTAAAGACACGGCACGCTCTCCATATCAGCTGCTGTTTAAATGCAGAGCTGTAAATGCAAAGGAAGGAAATGACAACGCCATGGAGGAGGAAGAATGGTGTTTATTGTCCGAGGGAGGAGAGGTGAAGGAGAAATGGGAATGTAACAAAACTATCGCACCGTCTATCGTGCTGTAAAACAGTATTCATCCAGTGGAGTGTGATACCAAAATAGGTCAGTCATCAGTGTTAGAGCAGCGATAGAGATGCAGAGTGATAATGGAGGAGAGCCACAGAGTACAGTGTTGGACAAAGAGCCAGGGCAGGTGGCTCTTTCAATGCCACTCAGAGGCCTTTGTGGCGCTGCGACAGCTGTTCCTCCGCCAGGCCGAGAGCAAAGTATCAGCCACCTCCGAGAATGAACAACCAAGACCAGAATAGAAGACAATTTTTACAAGAAGCAAAACAAAAAATAACAGCCATGGTTCTCACAGTCGCGGGCCAGACAAAACACGTAATGCTAATTTATAGATGACGGAGAAGTAGAACAACAAGTGCAAGATGTTCTGAAGGCAGAGTACTCAGATCTTTTAGTTAAAGGGGCTTATTCTGCTAAATTTCAGGTGTATATCAGTATGTAGTGTCTCGACTTTAAAGAGTCCTCTCCTGCTGATGTTCAGGTGTATATCAGTATGTAGTGTCTCTACTTTAAAGAGTCCTCTCCTGCTGATGTTCAGGTGTATATCAGTATGTAGTGTCTCTACTTTAAAGAGTCCTCTCCTGCTGATGTTCAGGTGTATATCAGTATGTAGTGTCTCTACTTTAAAGAGTCCTCTCCTGCTGATGTTCAGGTGTATATCAGTATGTAGTGTCTCTACTTTAAAGAGTCCTCTCCTGCTGATGTTCAGGTGTATATCAGTATGTAGTGTCTCTACTTTAAGAGTCCTCTCCTGCTGATGTTCAGGTGTATATCAGTATGTAGTGTCTCTACTTTAAAGAGTCCTCTCCTGCTGATGTTCAGGTGTATATCAGTATGTAGTGTCTCTACTTTAAAGAGTCCTCTCCTGCTGATGTTCAGGTGTATATCAGTCTGTAGTGTCTCTACTGTGACATGTCTCCAGGCTTTAATGTTCAAAAAGCTCTTTATTTTTCTCATACTGCCTGTGCTGCAGCACCTCTTTTCACCCTCTGTCTGAAACCAGAGCCCAGTCTGCTCTGATTGGTTAGCTGGCTGGCTCTGTTGTGATTGGTCGACCAGCTTAAAGATGACATGGGGCGGCTGTGGCTCAGTGGATAAAGTGCTGGACTTCTGGACTCTGAATGTATGTAAGTATGTAAGTAAAGCATCTAACAAATAACATGTAATGTAATGTAAAGATGTCCCGCCCCTCAGCCTATCACGTTGAATGTGTTGGAGCGCTAGCCAATAGAAGCGTGAATGTTACACACTAACTAGAACTATTACCAGGTTATGTACTTCATGTACATAGCGAAGTAGAAGGTAGGATTACATAGAAATCCTCAAGTAGGTCAAAATAGTTCGTAAGAGTAATCGAGTAAATGTACTTTTATCACTGATTTTGTCACATTTTGTGTCATGTGTGCAAATATTTTGAGCTTTCACTGCAGCGCATGACTGCACTCGCACAAAGCTGAATAACAACACTCGATAGCATCTTTGTCAGGGGATACTGAACACCCTTTTTCAATTACTAAGAATAGAAACAACAGACACATAACTTCTTTGTCTTTTCCAGACACTGTTTACTCTCCAGAAGGCAACACCGGTCATACTGAGCCGTGACAATGTGCTTCTGTGCAGCTGGGATATTCTGCAGCCTCTGAATCCTCTGGAGAAGCACGAACCCCTGAAACCCTAAACCAGACTCTTAACCAGACTCTAAAACCCCCCATTAGACCCCTAGAAGTCAGCTGGAGGATCAGAGACAGACTGGGAGGGATTCCTCATATCCAGTTTGTTCAGTAAGATGGTATTCACTTTACAAACTCTGGCTAATGACAGTAAAAGCATAATCGTTTGTAGTGGGCTTGTACGAGGTATTTCAACATAGTCAGCTTATCAAATATAGAGACAAGCACATGTTAGTAAAGATTATTACATGGCTTAGTTGAATACTCGATTGTGATTGGTCAATTTGGACATTTCAGAGGTGGTTAATACTTGTTAACGGATCACTGCTAAGGGGGATCAAGGGACTATGTGCAGTCATATCAATCCACAGAAAGAAGTCAATTTAACGTCAGCTGTCGACAACTAACATTAGTTTTCTCCATCAGAGAACATCATGAAATACTTTTGGATTATTCATTTTTATATTTGTGGAGATCACGAAACTTTGGAGTCATGATGCCTAAACTGTCCCCAGTCAAGAAAGAGAGCGCAACAAAAAGGAAAGAGGTTCAAAGACAGAGAGCTGGACGTCAGAGAAATCAACAGAAGAAGACAGACAGGAAGTAAACATCAAAGGGAACAGCAGAAGAAGACAGACAGGAAGTAAACACTAACAGGAACACAGTATGGGCTCTGGGATTTGTTCTTAGTCGAAGCAATATGACAGGGTATATGCAGGAATCCTGAAGTCAAATGTAAGACCTTTTAAGACCTTTTTTAAGACCCTTCCCATACATTTTAAGACCTCATCGCCACTTGGAGTTTTAACCGGTTACATTGGCGACACACTTTACCTCACATTGACTATATACAGTATTGATTGTCCTCCCTCCTTATCTTCCAACTATTTGGACGCAAACTTGCATTTCTCCATAACGATGTTGTTTAACAACCGGCGTAAACGGACCTTCGCGCGCTATCAAGCAGTGAGCGTGCGATGTCCTGTTCAGATGACGTCAAATCCAACGGGATGCCATAAATAAACTACACAGAATCACACTACACACCTACGCAATGATTACATTCAGGCAGACTGTAGAATACAACCTCTTTGGACAATTTATATACTTATTGAAAACAAGCTACAAAATGTAATACCTTGGGAAATGCCGTTTAATACTTTTTAATAGCCTTCATTTTCGCTAAATTGATTTGATCAACTTTTAATACTTTTTAAGATCCCGCGGACACCCTGCTTGAACATCTTTAAATCAGTTTGGACATCAGCTCACCATCTTTGCTCCCACATCCCTCTCTCTCTCCATGTCCCTCTCTCGGCTGCCGTGGCCCCTCAGGAGCTGCTGGGCGTCGTGGATCGCCTGGGTGACAACGTCTCCGTCTCCAAGGAAACCTAACAACAATAACACAGGTCAATGGAAGAACATAAAAACATACATGAAGAATATGTGTTTATGTAGAATAATGCTTCAATGCCGTTGATTTGAATCTGCACTTCTTTTGGCATTTTTTGATTGATTTCTTTTGATTGGTTTTCTTGTTTGAATTTGCCCGTCGTCTGCTAATCAGATCAATGCAATCAAAATGCCTTTTAGTGCTCGAAATTCTACTTTTTTTTCGTCTAACTGAAATCAGAATAGGGCTTAACATAAATGTGCAGCTTATAGTTTGTTTACAAGGTGGTTAGCTTTATTGCCCAATTTAAAAAATGATGAGTAATTTGCAAACTTAGACTACATTTGTAATACTAGTCATAGATTATGTATTCACGTAGCCTCTGTTTCCTCAGTATATACATCCTGCTAGGAGGTGAACTAATGAAGCTCAGCGTAAGTTCAACCAGGAAGACCTTCTTTACTCTTCATTTACTATTCCCATGTAACTACTCTCTCTCCTCTCAATAAGTGATCGGGGGCGTCACTCTCCAGCTTAACCAATCACTTCGCTCCATTCCCAAGAGCCTATTATAGCGCTCTGCCAAACCTTTTAAGTCTGCTCTCCCCCCTCTGAAAGCTGTCATTTCAGGTGACTCGACGCAACCCTCCTCCACCCCTTTTCACCTCCCGTCCCTCTGAATCCAGGGTCAAGCTAAGCCCCTCCCCTTCAGACCGACCCAACTATCCATTCACCACCACCAGGGTCAAGCTAAGCCACTCCCCTTCAGACCGAACCCAACTATCCATTCACCACCACCAGGGTCAAGCTAAGCCCCTCCCCTTCAGACCGACCCCAACTATCCATTCACCACCACCAGGGTCAAGCTAAGCCCCTCCCCTTCAGACCGACCCCAACTATCCATTCACCACCACCAGGGTCAAGCTAAGCCCCTCCCCTTCAGACCGACCCCAACTATCCATTCACCAACACCAGGGTCAAGCTAAGCCCCTCCCCTTCAGACCGACCCCAACTATCCATTCACCAACACCAGGGTCAAGCTAAGCCCCTCCCCTTCAGACCGACCCCAACTATCCATTCACCAACACCAGGGTCAAGCTAAGCCCCTCCCCTTCAGACCGACCCCAACTATCCATTCACCAACACCAGGGTCAAGCTAAGCCACTCCCCTTCAGACCGACCCAACTATCCATTCACCAACATCAGGGTCAAGCTAAGCCACTCCCCTTCAGACCGAACCCAACTATCCATTCACCAACACCAGGTCAAGCTAAGCCACTCCTCTTCAGACCGACCCAACTATCCATTCACCAACACCAGGGTCAAGCTAAGCCACTCCCCTTCAGACCGACCCAACTATCCATTCACCAACACCAGGGTCAAGCTAAGCCACTCCCCTTCAGTCCGGACCTAACTATCCATTCACCACCACCAGTGTCTAGACCCCAGGGGGGTTTCATCGGATCGGTTCTCCCCTCCCGAATGAGACTCCTGCACAACGGGGCCTAATCGCCAAAATCACCATTACATTCATTTGTGTATCTCTGCAATAAATATGTATTCTTACATCAAAACCGTCTCTCCTGATTGAACTGCTGATGTGGTTGATAGCGCTCATTAAAGGGGGCCATGACATGTCTCCATGCTTTAATGTCCAAAAAGCTCTTCTCATACTGCCTGTGCTGCAGCACCTCTTTTCACCCTCTGTCTGAAACCAGAGCCCAGTCTGCTCTGATCGGTTAGCTGGCCGGCTCGGTTGTGATTGGTCAACCGCTTAGAGATGTCCCGCCCCCTTAGCATATCATGTACTAGTTGTTCTATAATAATGGTATCAGCATGAAGGAGACCCTGTTACTGTGACAAACCAGAAACACAGAGGGTGTCTCAAGCATTGCATTTATTTTACTTTTTAAGTTTCTTATTTGGTTTTGAAAGCCTTGAATGACCTTGCTTCACCAAACATACGTTCATGTTGCAGCCAGATCAATAAGGTCCTCCACTGCTTTTCCTTTAAATGTTCCTGATGTGTCCCATAACGGCGTCAGTGAGTGTCTTCTCTTGTTTTGCTCCATGAACTGTGGAACTCACCACCTCTGGGTATTAGAAAGGCAAGATCGCTTTGTATTTTTAAAAGAAACATAAAGACCTTTCTATTTGGAGTGATGCTGAAGTTGTATTTTAATTTTCTTTTATTTAACACTTATCTATTGACTTGTGTTTGTCGAATTTTGTAACATTTTATTATTTTTCGTAGTTTATTTCTGGGGTTTTCCCGCTTTTTCCAATGAAGCATATGGGCTGCATGTTTGTATGAAAGGTCATTGAGGAGGTTAGTGTGTGTGAGCCACTACATGTATTTAATACCTTTAGGTACTTCACAGATGTGGATGAATGATGTGAAATATAACCAAGTGTTAAATCAGACTTTAGTTCCAGCTGGAGTAAATCCACAAGCTACCCTGCAGTATACAAAGTCATTACAACTAGCTGCACCTTTACCAGCTTTGAGAACACTTTCATGATCAATCATTATAAAACATATCATATATATTATTCTGAAATGGACCAATCTGCACAATGACTACTTTTACTGTCGCTACTTTAAGTATATTTTGATGATAATACTTTTCTACTTTTACTTGAGTAACATTTTGAAAGCAGGACTTTTACTGTAACAGAGTATTCCTACACTCTGGTACTTCTACTTTTAATCAAGTACAAGATCTGAGTACTTCTACTTTTACTCAAGTACAAGACCTGAGTACTTCTACTTTTACTCAAGTACAAGACCTGAGTACTTCTTCCAGAGTTCAACTCACTGAGTGTGGTTCGTTGGGGGCTTCTGGTGGTTTCTCTCTGGACGTCTCGGTGCCGGTACGCTCCGTGCAGCCCCAGCTCCAGACCCAGTGGACTCAGGGTTTTCCCCAGATCATGACCCTTGGACTTGGAGGTCAGGTTCAAGGGCTGACTGGCTTCCTGCACACACACACATAGCAGATGAGCAGGGGTTGGGCCACACACACACATTCAGAGGCAACCGCAAAGGGCAAGGGTGTGCACGTATTCCGGTTTTGCACGGCAGATTTGGCATGTCGGAGCACATCTGTCACACCTTTGTAGAATCTCCTGCTCTTTTGTCTTCACACTCACATCATCCTTTTGTTTATCTAAGCCCTGTTGGTCTATCTCTGCTTGAGAACCAGCCGTGCAAATACAGTTCACACACACACACACACACAAACACACACCTATACCACACACATTTGAACAGAGGGTGCGGTGCGTTCGGAAAGCTTTTTTCAGCCTCACACATACCAGAAAAATACATTAGCTGTTTAATCTGAAGGGAAGTACTTTCTTTAACATCCCCTAAAATACACACGTACAGTATACACACTTATACACACACACACACACACACACACACACTGCCATGAGTTGCTGTTAACATTTTGGATGAATATTGTACAGTGTTGGGGAGTACCTATCTACATACTGAAAGTATTAGTGATATGTAGAATAATACTTTCATGCTGTTGATTTTGTTCAAATCAATGAAACCAAAATGCCTAATTCAACAATTAACAAAACTGTGCAGTGTATAATTTGTTTACAAGGTGGTCGTGAAATGCTGTACATCGAAATGCTTAATGCTAAAAAAATAGTCATTTGCATACTTAGATTACATTTGTAATAGATTAACTAGTGATAAATGATGAGTCTGTTCCATTGTGATGAACATTCAAAAGGCTGACACACAACACTGTACCTGTCGGAAGGAACCACTGCTCCTCTTGGCGGGGGGGGCGTGAGGGTTTGGGAGCAGCTGCATGGGATAGTCCACTGCTGGAGGAAGTCAAAAAGTGATGTATGAAAAACAAGAACACTCCAACAGCTGTGAGGTTACTCTGATATCATTGAAGATGTGTACCATAACGTGTGGTGTCTGTTAGCACTTGCTAGCTAATGGTAAGTGATTGTAAAACTAATAATAACTGATAAAAACGGACGGATAAATAATTATTTTCATTTAGATTATTAGTTGTTCAATACCAAAAGGGGTATTCGATTTATTTTTGAATAGCGTAATCTATTTTTTTCGTAATGATAGGCGAGTTTGTTATTGAAAATATGAATGCCGCTTCCGGTAGCACGGCAACAAAAGAGGCAGAAATGATGAAGGCCGCTCTTCCTTTCTCCCTCTGATATCTGTCTCTGTCCCCCTGTAGCTTCCTATCACACACACACACACACACACACACACACAGCACACACCACACACACCACACACACACACACACACACCACACACACACAACCACACACACACACACACACACACACACACACACACACACACACACACCACACACACACACACACACACACACACACACACACACACACACACACACACACACACCACACACACACACACACACACACACACACACACACACACACACACACACACACACACACACACACACACACACACACACACACACACACACACACACACACACACACACACACACACACACACACACACACACACACACACACACACACACACACACCTAACCTTAAATTCAACCTACAATGTTTTTAAAGAGTGGCCTTGTGTCTTTCAGGTTTGAAAAGATATAGACTAGAGAAGGTCAGCCTCGAGCGAAGCTTTTTAAGACGGAGAAGAAACAACGGCTGCACAAAGCTGTTAACTGTAGTGTGTGAAAGCTACTTTCAACCCGTTATTGTTCTACATTTATAGCTGATGGCTTTAATTTCCTTTAAAGTAGACCTTGAGTTGAAGTGCGTTTTAAGTTTCTTAAAAAACACTTTGCACGACGAGATGGAAACTTGCAGAGCTGGTGACTTTTTGGCACGAAGTGTCAGGCTTTAAAAGCACAGTCTTTGCAGTGTTCATTCTGTCTTGCAACAGAGAGTGTAATAAACTTTAATAAAGACAAATTGGGTTACATTGGTTGGTGATTGGCTAATGTTACACAAGCCAAAGAATCGTTATGACATCATAAAGCGGCCAAAATCTGATCGGCTCATTTTCAGACAGGTTTTTATATAAATGGATCAGGACAAAAAGAGAGAGAATCTTTTTCCTGAAACTTTCAGAATCTCTTTACACAGAGGGGACACATGGTTGTGTAGAAAATACATGAAAAAGTGGATTTTGCATAATAGGTGACCTTTAAATGTTTCCAGCTTTGGATGTATTGTTTCTTGGCCCCCAGTGTGTCCCAACTCAACTTTTCCCAAGACTTGCACTTCCCCAAAAGACTGACCTGGTTTGCAGGGGATTGGCTGCAGAGGTAAAGTCATCTGTTGGTCAGAGGAGACCTGGAGGGACTGTGCGTTGGGGTGGAAAGCCGGGATCATCACGTAGGGCATGTTCACCTGCTGGGACGAGGCAGAACAGATACACCTTACAGAAAAGAACTGATCTCATTGGTCTGAAACTGTTGTCATTTAACATCCCATATCTGTGCTGCTGGTAGGTGAATATGTCTGAAGGCTGACCTGGATCTGCTGCTGAAGAAGGTTGATCTTGTGCTGCTGCTGGATCAGTTGCTGCTGCTGCTTGGCGATCTGAGACACAAGACACATGGTCATTATCACACAGATCACGTGCTGTATGTATGTGGCAAACACACACAATTGCAAAAAGTGGAGGGGATCATGATCCAATGACAACCCACCAAATGCAATGAATGAATCGTATCCTGTATCCTTCGACCTCTAACCCATCACAGTCCCCCTGCTTCCACTCCTAATGCTATTTATTTCATCTGTACTTTATTTGTTGCCCTTCTTGTTTGTTTGTTTGTTTGTTTGTTCATCATGTAAAGCGGCCTTGGGTCCCTTGAAAGGCGCTATAAAAATGTAATCTATTATTATTATTATTATTGTATCAAATGTACAAACGCAAACTCTATTATCTTATACATTGTACATTGACACTATAATTACAAAATATGTGAAATGCACATGCATTGCTATACAATTCCTAACGTAGAACTGGATAAGTGATAAAACGATGCAATAAAGTAGAATCTCCCCAAGAATCTGACAAATGTACAGTTATGTAAATTGTCCTTTTTCTTACATTACATATGTTGTTCATCTGACAAGCTTTGACTGATCTTACACCATTAGCATGAGTTGACCCAGTGTTTACCTTTTTGACTACAGAAACTTACTATATACAGGGTTCATACAATATTTCACCAATGTTTTTCAATGACTTTTCCATGACTTCTCCATGACCTTTACCTCATTTTATATGTAAAATGTTGCAATGGAGCTGAACTGCACCAAAAATAAAATAAAAAATAAAAACTTTGTCCCACTTTTGAATGTTTGTCTTTTGGCTGTTTTAAAACTCGATCCTCCAGAAGCCTATATGTCTGTAGTTGTGTGACTGTCACCTGTTCCTGCTGTTGTCGAGCCAGCTCCATCTGCTGCTGCTGTTTCTCCAGCAGCAGGGCGGCCATGTTCCTCTGCTCAGAGTGCGCTCCCAGGAGCTGCTCCCTCAGTCCGCTCAGCTGGTTGATCATCATCAGCAACTGGAGCTCCTTTTCTGCCAGAGCCTCGGGGGTACCTGGGGGAAAGGTCAGAGGGTCAGCTGCTGGAGGACTCCAAAAAGAGCAAAAAACACACACAATTATTACATTTGAAAAAAAAGGATAACTAGAGGGGGGACATATAGACTTAGTCAGGGGGTAGGACTTTCAATGAATTAAAATAAGATATAAAGGGCTGCCATTTCCCATAAAACGTCTCCTTTCCTTTCAATTTGTACCTGATCTTTTCAAATGTTAGGAAGTTCATAACATCCTGCAAACATTGAGAGGTGGATGGGGCTCTATTAGATTTCCACCGGAGCAGAAGTAGCCTTCTTGCTAACAATGAAGTAAATGCTAAAGTGGCTAACTGATTTGAGGTACAGTCTTGCGGGCCAACAAATACTGCAATAAAAGGGTCACATTTTTATTTGTATCTTACATATTTTAGACGTAGTGTCAAAATAGCCCTGCCAAAATGGATTAACTTTGGACACGAGTAGAACATGTGACTTAGGTGACATGGAGATGTATGAGCTGGAGTACTCTTTATCAAATTCAGGAAGGACACTTGGCAGTGGCGGTTCGACACCAATTCAAGGTTCTTTATTGTCAAACTGACATAGCTACAGAGTAATTATGTTGTTGGAAATCTTATGTCACAGGCTTCTCCAACAATGCAACATAATAACAATACAGATAGCAAGAGTAATACAAAAAGAAAAATAGTTATAAAATAAAGTGAGCATGTGGAATAGTGCAGTACGAGTCTATATACAAGTTATTGGAATGATATATATTAGATATTAGATACATATTACTGAGTAGCAGATGAATGTTTTGAAGTTGTTTCAGCAGTTCAATTGTTTAACAGTCTGACTGACAGTTTGACTGGGGGGGGGGGCCCCTTTTGTTTGTTTGTTTGTTTGTTCACTATGTAAAGCAGCCTTGGGTCCCTTGAAAGGCTAAATTCCCCGGGGATTTTAGCCTTTGCAGACCATTTACATTAAAAGAAACCTGTACAACACAATATTGTATCCGTTTATTTGTTCAATGTCCTATATGTTGCACTGTTGGAGGAGCCTGTGACTTCAGTGTTTCATTGCCATAACTTGCACTAATGGGCAAATGACAATAAAGTCTTGAATCTTGAATCAAAAGAAAAGAGAAAAACCCCAAAAAGCGTAATAGGGTATTTTTAAAGCAGCTATAAATACATATTTTAACCATAACTATTACATTACATTACATGTTAGACGCTTTTATCCAAAGCGACTTACATACTCAATACTGTGGGCAATCCCCACAGGAGCTAGTTGGGGTGAAGTGTCTCAGGGACACAACGACATGCTGACTGCAGTGGGGTTTGAACCTGTGCTCCCCTGATCCGAACACCAACGCACTAATCCACTACGCCACACGCTTCCCTCCACTATGTATTGAGAAAATAAGATCCTGCAAACTGCTCTCGCTCAACAACACAATGTATTGTCCATATAGTTCTTTGCGTATTACAGGAGTATTAAAATACTCTAAAGTAAGTCGGGGCTAATCGTTAATATGACCAATATATTGGGATGCAGAGAATTGTGCGTGTTTATACTTTTTTGTATTATACTCTCCTACACAACTGCAACCGGCATATTTGGATGAGTGAGCATCTCCTTTTGAATTCATAATGCATGAAAATGTATTTTTCTGACACGAATATTTAGTGTTTTGGTTGTCATTTTAAGACACAAAAGAGCAGATATTTCCTTCAGTTTTAACTTTTTCAATACTGTAATGCAGGGGTGTCAAACTCAATTTCATCGCGGGCCACATTAGCATTATGGTTGCACTCAAAGGGCCGGTTGTAACTATATAAATATACATATATAAATATACATATATAAATATATAATATATATATAAAATAATGTATTATATTACATTATTGCCTCTGAATTGGATTATTATTGGATAGGATAATAACTTCGTAATTAACTACGTCTGAAAGCAGAAGTCCAGTGCAAATAATTGCAAGTCTCTTCAGTGCGCATGTCACAAAACGAGATGCATTGTGGGACATGTAGTTTATGGGCAACCTGCTTCTGTAAAGTGGCATGTAACCGTATAATAAACATATTATATTCTTTGCAAGCTCTTGCGGGCCACATAAAATGAAGTCGCGGGCCGGATTTGGCCCCCGGGCCTTGAGTTTGACACCCCTGCTGTAATCTATTCTCATTCCAACAAGAGGAACATATCTTTATTTTATGCCAATATGTTTTTTAATCACCGACCAAAACGACAAGCAACGAGAAAACCGAGAGGAATAATAGAGAAGAATAGATCCTGAGATAACAGCACCAAACACACATTAGAGGTAAGTGTGGTAACAGCAAATGGACAGCGATAATTACACAATGACAACTCGGTCTGTCTGAGTGTCAGTTTAAAAGCCATTGATAACATCTATCATTTGCTTAGTCAAATCCTCCTGTGTCTGTATCTCTAGATGTGACTCATATTTTCATATTTGACCCCAACTTATCCTTATTTTTCAAGGAACACCGCATGGTAACTTATCAAATGTGTTTCATGGTGTTATTCAGTTTAAGCATATGAAGATCATAGCGGGAAATAGTGGTAGATATTTGGACAATAGTAGAACATGTTGTAAATAGAGGAATGTTAGTGGTGTTTGAAAACTGACCTTTCAGTTGTCCTGCTCCCACTGAGCTTTTATCCAGAAGTTTCTCCTTCCAGTCAGCATTCAGCAGCTTCTCAATGGTCGGCATTACTGTTAACAGGACACAACAGGTTACACTAGAAAAAGACATTCTGTCAAAAAAACAAAAAAATACATTTGACACCAAACTACTTTCTCAGCCTCTCTGCTGCCTTTCTAATGGCATTGATTGAAGAAGACTTTTAAGGTGGCGAAGGGCAGAGGTTGTTTGTGCTTCTGGGAGAACTTTGGAGTGTTTGAGTGGATCAATATTTGGACAGAGAACAATCCAAGGTCAGCTAGTGGAGAGAATTTAAGAACATTTTAAGGTGAGGAGTGCGGGCTGGTGAAAGACTCGAGGGCACGGAGACTTTCGGGAGCATCTCAGAGAGCATTTTACTCCACATGTGAGGGATTGAACAAAATCTGTAGAAACATAAATAAAGAAAAACCTGATACCCCTCCCAGACCTATTCATGAACCAAAACAACACCCTCGCTTTGCTAGACAAACTACGCATCGATTTTCAGCAGACTGCATTGTTTAATGTTGAATGGCAGCAGAATATAGTGCACTTAAGATATGGAGTCGTCAAAGTGTGGTCGGTTATAAAAAAATTGTATAGACTTGTGTGTGTGTGTGAGTGAGAGAGAAAGACTCCCATAAAGGGAAATAAAACGGAGGTGCAGAGAGGAGACAAATGGTAGAGGTGTACTGATACCAATGTTTTACATTCAGGTGAATGTTGAGGTGAAATAAGTGCAGATCAGAAGACAAGTCAGTCTCTCACGTTACTGAGTGCTGCAGAAACAACATGTTTTAACACATTTTACATAACTGCAGTGCTGCATAGCCTACTCAATATTAAAGGCACTAAGTGGGAGAGATTGGAAATGTCCAACTTTTTTACGACTTCTCTACTACTCCATTGCAGAGGAAGCACCCAAAATGATTTTACACCGAAATGATTGACTGCACCAAATTTCACGAGATAGCCTCAACATACATTTAAATGTAATATTATTTAATGATATTCATAACCTGTGGAAAAGTCCTTAAAGGTCTGACTTCATGAGATGTGATGTGTTTGTTGACATTTTCAGAAATGGTTTAGCTCGCTAACCTGTTAGCCGCCATGATATTCTGAACGCCGACATATATTAACTAGCAGCAGTGTTCTCATGACTCATCCATCAAGCGAATCGTTTAAAAAAACGTCCTATAAGATTAACACTTTCATTTGAAGGCAACAAAACTACAGCAAGGCTACAGTTAGCACTACAGCCACACTAGGACCTGTGTGAGTAGTGCTAAATGCTAACGTCTACATGCTAACATGCTTCTGATGACAATGCTAACATGTGCTAAACATAAGTCCAGCTGTATATTTGTAGGTATTTGTAGTCATGTGGGGCTAAAAGCAAAATTAGCGGATAAACAAATTCAAATGTATTCTCTAGGTTTTGCACACTGATCCATTCAATTTCCATGATATTTCACAAAAAACTAAGAATGCCAACATGCCGGGTGCACTTGAGGAAAGAGACATTACAAGGTGAGGACCTTGACTGCCTGAACCAAATTTCATTGAGATTCATTCAATAGTTAATCAACATATTCAAGCCATTCGTAAAACAGAACCAAAGATGTTAAATCATTTACCCTTTGGTATCTAAAAAAATGTTTTAATGAATTTAAAAATAACAAATCAGTAGTTAATAAGGCAAGATAGAAAATAGTGTTTCACTGTGACGGTACTGGGGATATTTTATAAACACAAGTTCAATCCATTAAATGATTATTAGCCTACTAGGGCAAGTTCTTTTGTCAATCTAAATGTGATTACATGGCAGCTCTTTCAACACTAGTCAGGACACTGAAAAACTGAACTTATATAGACTATTTTAGGAGTTTTGACATACCTTCCTTGAAGCTGGAGTGTCCCTCAGCTCTACCATGTGTCCTGGCTTCCTTCAGTCCCAGTGGGCTCAGCCTGTGAGGCAGCTCTTTACCTGGAGAGCCCTCCTGTTGGTGCAAAGAAAGGGAACATCAGAGCAGAATTCTTATTCTTATTCTTTATTAGGATCCCCATTAGCACTAGCATGAGCATTGAACAACGGTTATTTTGTGTTTTTTTGTAATTATTGAGTTTTCTTGTATTCGAATGTGTTATTTTATACCTCGGGACTGTGGGAAACAGTGTTTCGATGTTTCTGTGTGTACAAACATATTTTGAGATTGACAATAAAGTTGACTTTGACTTGACTGACTTTGACTTTTGACTATTCTTCCCGGGGTCCTCACACACACAAAACATACATAAAACTAAACTAAAACAAAACACATTTTAGCCATCATAAGGCCAAACAATTTTTTTTAAATAAGTGTACATAATAATACATACCCACAGACACAGTTAAAAAAAAAAAGAAGTAAAATATAGCAGTAATTACATAGAAATATAATGGAATAAAACGGAATAAAATATGGTATACAATTCGGCAGTAATAAAAAAAACGTCCAACAACCTTTCTCCCTCTGTTATGTCTTTTGCAATATCCAGTGCAGGTTACAGTAGCTCTGAGTGTTAGCGATGCTAATGTAAACACAGACCATATTACGTCTAAAACAGTCGGGCATTGTTTCTGATAGCGACGTTTCTGATAGGGCCGTGGGTCCACATTTCAGATATTACGTCATATCGGATGCAAATCTGCATCAGCTCCGTTGTTCCCCCGTTTTTAGAGATGTGGGTACGGAGGAAAAGAGAGAAGGTTTTGTTTTCTGACACTTTGTGAGTTCCCTGACACACCGGGGACACATATTTATGTATAAAAGACATTAAAAAGTGCATTTTGCATGATAGGAGACCTTTAAATCCGTAAAACTTCCAACAACTTCCAATGTCTTTTGCAATATCCTTACCGAGGGGGAGCGGGAGAGCGGTGGCGTCAATTGGCGGGCTTCCAGTGGATGATTTCCCGACCAATCAAGTGACGGAGACCTCTTAGGAGGCTCAGCATTGGTAATGACTCCAACTCCTCCGCAGGACTCCTCTTGTTCTACTTTGACTCCGACACAGGCCATGCTGACATCCCCACCTGAGAGGAGGTGCAATGCTTTAGGGCTTGGCTCAACCATTCTGTTGAAGGAAAACACAAAAAACTGGATGTCATTTGGGTGTGGCGAGGCGAGGGCACTTCCCATGCCAATTTTGATTTTGGTAGTTGATGTAATTACAGCAAAGAACAGAGATTGAGACCAGAACGGCAACTCTTCAGAGTGAACAAGTTAAAACAGCTATAGGTAATGAGCTGGTTGACTCAGTGGAGGGAACCGTCACAATATTTCAACCCAACATAATTGTCATCCTCTAGGGACAATGAATACATGTACAAAAAACAACCGCAACCCATCATAGTAGTTAGTAGATAATTCAATACTGACGCAATTGGATGACTGACCAAATGAGAAACTGACAAGCAATTTTATAGCGTGGATAAAAATGTAACCATTATGTCAGCCATGTTTGCTATCAACTGGTCCATAAGGAGGGCAAAATGAAGACGGCTATAAATCCTTTTTTAATATTTGATCAGCATGGATAAGTAAATGTAGGCCATGTAATACAGGTGTGTGGAAAAACCTGTGCTATTATGGCTTACATGATTCATAATTGTATGCTCTCTTTTAAACTAAATTCTCTCCTAACCCACCATCTGTTAAACTTGGCTATTGACTGATGCGAGTGAAACATCTGTGCAGAAAGTTATATCGAAAGAGTGGAATTTAATAATGAGTAAGAACTGTGTTTCTGTTCAAATGTAAAACTTAGAGCAGCAGCGTGGTATAACTTAGTCAATTGAAGGATTTAGTATGCACAATGCAAGGGTTAGGGTTAGTTTTGTGCCAACAGGGAGCCTTTTAAATAAAATATATGTGTAAACAGTAGAAATTAGAATTAAAAGACAGCATTTATTATAAGCTTGTTTCATAAAAAGGCCTGGTTTTCTCTGGAGTTAAATACTCGACCACTATTTAAGAATTATAGTTAAACTTCACTTCACAAGTGCTACAAATAATCCTCAAATAGAGAATGTCGAACTGATGAATCCATAGATATCACTGTCACCGCAGACTTCTCCTCACAGTTGAAGTGATGCATAACAGTTGAGAAAATATGTCCCCAAACCCCCAAAACATGGGGGGTCTCTGGCATCCGATGTGTCTTTAAGGGTGGTCTTTATGAAAATGATTGAGAGGAACAGTTTTAATTCATTGCTGAAGTCAAGGTCAAGGGTTAGTTGGTGCTTGTTTTACCCCCGACCGAAAGTCACAGCCAGGATGATTGGCTAAGTGTGTGTGTGTGTGTGTGTGTGTGTGTGTGTGTGTGTGGTGTGTGTGTGTGTGACAGTGAATAATAGGAAGCTACAGGGGGACAGAGACAGATATCGGAGGGAGAAAGGGGAGAGAAAGGAAGAGAGGACAGGTTGTGTGAGGGAGGTTTGAACCACAGTGAACTTGAGCATACCCACTCAGGCTTGTGTGTGTGTGTGTGTGTGTGTGTGTGTGTGTGTGTGTGTGGTGTGTCTGTCTATGTGTGTGTGTGTGTGTGTGTGTGTGTGTGTGTGTCTGTCTATGTGTGTGTGTGTGTGTGTGTGTGTGTGTGTGTGTGTGTGTGTGTGTGTGTGTGTGTGTGTCTGTCTATGTGTGTGTGTGTCTGTGTGTGTGTGTCTATGTGTGTATGCGTGTGTGTTTTATTTCCCAGCTCTGCAGCAGGAGGAAAGAAAAACACAGCAGACAGCAGAACAAAACAAACAGAACACACAAGGGCAAAAAGTGCACATATATATTAAGAGGCACAAAAAAAAAAAGCCATTGTCTGAGCCGGGGAACAAAGGAAGCCGGGACAATGGGGGAGAGGCTGACAAAAGCCGGCGGCCGCAGGAAACGGGCCGGATAACAATGCCAGCGGAATGTGCCGACCAACTCGGGAACACGGCAAAAAAAATGCGGAGCGCCACCGTTCTGCGGAAAGCATAATAATGATTAGAAACCCCCCCCCCCCTGCCCCCCCTCCACTTCACCCTGCTCTCCCAGCCTGTTCTGTTTCTGAACAAAGCCACCTGTCTGCCAGGGTCCAAGGCTCCAAACCTCCGTGATGTATATCCGTGTGTGTGTGTGTGTGTGTGTGTGTGTGTGTGTGTGTGTGTGTGTGTGTGTGTGTGTGTGTGTGTGTGTGTGTGTGTGTGTGTGTGTGTGTGTGTGGGTTTAAAGCCGCACGAATAAATTAAAGTCATGACACAGAATCACAAAGTTAGGCTTCTTCTCTACAAACCCACCACGCTTGGGGAGTAATGGATTACATGTAAAGGGATAATGTAATCAAGATACCAACATTAGTAACTGTATTTCCTTACATTTACATAAAATATATCAGATTGCCGTTACATTTCTAAATAATTGGGGATTACTAGCAGGATTACAATGTTACTAAGCATTTCAAAAGAGCATATAGTGTTTACTGAAACACTTTACTTCTACTGAATCTGCTTTTCACTTTCTTTGGTTCATTTGTTCTGTTTTTAATTCAGCAGGTGAACCTATATGTTCATAAAATAGTGTGTGTGAGCTTAACTGTGTGCATTTTCTGTCAGCTCAGATTTGATTTCTGCTTATTTAAACTGTAGTGTGTGCTCATGAGTTTCATTGTAGGTTACTGCCTGAATATGCTTGTCCTACACAAGTTACACTCAAGTTAAAATGACATTACATTTGAAATTGAGGTAATCCAAACGTAAAGGAAAGTAATAAGGTAACATTACTTTTATATTTTGATACTCAGATTGGGTAACTGAATACAGTTCTTACAGGTAACTAGTCATTGTGATGGATTACATTTTTAAAGTAACCCTCTCAACCCTGACATGCAGATAATTCCCACTCACTTTAAGTCACTGCTTGAAATCGTCCCGACATCAAACAAGATTGACAGAGATATTTGGACTGAACTAACAGCAAGTCACACAAGTTAAAGCTCTGTGATTGTGTGCATTGTTGGTGACAGCTCAACACAATCCCCCTATTGTTCGTTCTAAGAAGGTTGCACCTTTAATTCTGAGGATTAAAGGTGCAGAGTTTTCTTGTAAGTTTACAGTTCTGTTTACATTCTTTGTTTCCCTCTGTGTGTCCTTGAGGCCAAACAAATGTATTCAGTGCCTTTCCGTTCTCAAATGCAAACGTTTGTGTACACTGACTCAGATACTCCTCAACAAGAAAAAACCCTGTTTGCTATCCTGGATCCAAAATGGTGTAACGAGCTCCCCAGTGATATAAGGACAGCTAAAAGTGTTATATAGGTGTTAGTGCATGTAAATGGTCTGCAAAGGCTAAAATCCCTGTGTTCCCTGAAATGCCTCCATTGGACTCCTTTGTTTACTCCCGTAACAGTGACATCACACTGTAACAGTCACACTTCTATTGGCTAGCGCTCCAATACATTGTAAGTGATAGGATAAGGGGCGGGACATCTCTAAGCGGTTGACCAATCACAACAGAGCCGGTAAGCTAACCAATCAGAGCAGACTGGGCTCTGGTTTCAGACAGAGGGTGAAAAGAAGTGCATGTTACTTGTCTTGGTCTTCATGGTGTATTGCACTCATTCGACATTGCTTTGGATAAAAGCCTCAGCTAAATGAAACGTAATGTAACGGGCATTGCTTCATCCGTATTTACAAGCTAGCACTATTCTGCTCCAACATCATCTTTTAGCAAACGACCACTATTACATTTCTTCCAGGGAAATAACTTGAAACTGTAAAAGGAATTATCAAATCATTCTACACCTCTCTCATTGTTACTTCCTACTCAGTGTGAAAGAAACCAAGTGTTACAAATAAGGAGAGAAGCCTCGAGGAGATTGGCATGGTGCTCTCTTACAACAAGTGACATGAAAAAAGGCCAACAATCTGCCAAATACACAACACTGTTGTTACTGCAATCCAACACCAAGCCACCTGTCTGCCAGAGCTTTCAGACCTGTGCAAGGTGTGTGAGAATATATATGTGCGTGTGTGTGTGTGTGTGTGTGTGTGTGTATTCAAACTCTGAATCATAATAAAACCATTTCACACAGCTGATGGTAACTAAATAGCCCGTTAGCACATTAAATACAGCTGTAGGAGTGGAGAACAACAGCAGTCCGACTCATTAGAGGCCACCTGCTACACTACTGTTGACTTTAAACACAATATCACACTCAGTTGCGTGTGTGCGTGTGCGTGTGCGTGTGTGTGTGTGTGTGTGTGTGTCAGATGGTGTCAGGGCCAAAACCTTGTTCTTAGATCCAATATTGTAATTTAAAACGACAAAATAATCTGTCCCACGATCTGAATGCTGTTTCCAATACACTGACACTCAAATAAATGAATATCCAGCCTTCTCCCTCTCGTAAGTCAGCAGAAGTACATAATTATTTTGTTATTATTTAGAGGACATTTTATAGACTTTTTTATAGGTTCATATCAGTATGTAGTGTCTCTACTGGGACATGTCTCTATGCTTTAATGTTCAAAAAGCTCTTTATTTTTCTCATACTGCCTGTGCTGCAGCACCTCTTTTCACCCTCTGTCTGAAACCAGAGCCCAGTCTGGTCTGATTGGTTAGCTGGCCGGCTCTTTTGTGATTGGTCAACTGCTTTGAGATGTCCCGCCCCTTAGCCACATACATTGATACATATTGTATCACATACAATGTATAGGAGTGCTAGCCAATTGAAGCAATAGTGCTACATTGTGATGTCACTATGTTACTAAAGTAAACAAAGGAGTCCAATGGAGGTGTAAAAACCTATATAACACCTAATATATATATATTAATACCTAATATATATATATCATTCCAATAACTTGTATATAGACTCATACTGCACTATTCCACATCATAACTTTATTTCATTTTTATAACTATTATTATTTTTGTATTGCTCTTGCTCTTATTGTTATTATGTTATGTTATTATGTTGCATTGTTGGAGAAGCCTGTGACATAAGATTTTCAACTGCATAATTACTCTGTAGCTATGTCAGATTGACAATAAAGAACCTTGAACCTTGAACACATTTTCACCAAGCAGTATTGCTGC